TATAGTCCGTAATTTGTGACTACTTTGCAACGTTGTTGTAGAGTCGCAAATTAGCGACTGATTAGTGACACCCTATCATTTGCGACTACTTAGCGACTGATATTATCGTCGTAAATATGTGACCATTGTATGACGCCTTTGTAGTCAAAAATTGCGACACTTTTGGGACTACTGTGCTCGTCACGAATGATTATTTGTAGTCGCATAATAGTCACTGATGTGTCACAAATTAACGACTACTTGGCAACGCTTAAAAAAGTAGTCGCAAGTTAGTCACTAAAACGTCAATAATTACCAACTACTTTGTGACACTTTGATTATTTTTGTCCGGAATATCAGCTGGAGTCGCAAGTTAGTCACTTTAGCGTCACAAATTACCCACTACTTTGTGACGCTTTAACTGTTTGTTCGTTAAGGTGTTGCATTTTTGCAACTATTTTGTGACTTGAACACAATACCTAAATTTGTATAAAACTAAATTTTTTTCCGAATCTAAAACTAAAACTACAACAGATAATTATACATAACAAAAGTGCATTACATTTTCAAGTTGTGTTCAAACCAAATGTGCATAAAACCATCAAAGAATAAAAGTATACATAACAAAAGTGCCATTGTACTTGTTTGTTCAAACAAAAACCAGAAACTGAGAGAAGGGATAGAAATAAACCATCAATTGTTGTCATTGGCAGGAGGGGGTTCATCACTTGAGTCTTCATCCATGTATGCGGCGATCTGTGGATTGTCCTTCTTCAGAAACGAGAGGAGCTTCTCCAGTTCAGAGACTCGAGCATGACTTTCCCTTAGCTCCTTTATCTCCTCATCACGTCGCTTATTCTCCTCGTCATGCTCAGCTAGCTTAAGACGAGCAGATTTAAGGTCCTCTTGCATCTCTGCTAGTTCAGGTGGAGGAGTAGTGTCTTCATAGCTTATCTTCCTCTTCCCTTTGTTCAGCTTCTGAGACAGTCCACCTATTCCAAAAGGATTTCCCTTTTGATCGAATTCAGTACACTACAACAACAAAGAAAACATATTCATTAACCAATTGATTCATCAACCAACTACAACAATTAGTAAAGACACTAACAACTTCAACAATAAGTAAAGACACAAACAGAAACAGATTCATCAATCAAACTAAAACAGATTCATCAATCAAGCAGAGACATAAAGTAGAGACACGAACAGAAACACATTC